AAGCGGGGTCGCGAGGGGTGCTTGTGCCTATCTCCAGCTGTCTATGGGTGAGAGACGGATTACACACTGGACAGGTCGCCAGTCCATCACAGTGAATACAGAAAACACCACAAAAATAATTAACCATTACAACTAGAAAACAAAGAAAAACATGGATCAAAGTGAAAAGTGAAAACTCAAAAAGAAATGTATCTCTGGATTTAACCCATCACGTCGGGGAGAAGTGGGCTGACATTGTGTAGCGCCCGGAGAGGAGTGTGGGATTAAGTTTCTTGCTTAGTAACCCAGAGTGGAGGCTGCAGGGATCAAACCAGGGACTTGCAACCTTCTCAGAGCAAAAGCACACTGCTCTAACCCACTAGGCCAACACTCCTCCCACTAGGTGAATATAAGGTGAATGTGCTGTGTTTGTTATGGCCTAAAATGATTTACAGTTGAAAAAGACAGTAAAATATTCATTTGTGTTCATACTGTATGCAAAATGTACATTTGAACAATGGCATATATACATTTGTTTTGTCTATCAACTGTATAAGAGAAGTACAATGTCCGCATACCCCCTATGCTCCTCTCCTGTTAAGGGGATAGACCACAATTCTTTGTAGTTTATTTTCTGTTACACTAAGCAAAAGTAGTATGTTTTCAAAAGTAAAAAATAAAAAAAGCTGCTTTGAGGTAACCCAATATAAAAATATGTAGTGAAAATGCTTCCTTTAGTTTGGACAAGCTGAAAAATCTATTCTACATGATAGATAACAATCACAGTCTATGGCCAATCGTATCACACTAGGTTGTTCCCTCCCACTAAACATTATTATAATAGTTTGACCCATCATACGATCTCCTTTACTGTACATTTACTCTTAAGAAGAGTGATGACAATATGCAGCGGATTGTTTATTTTCTTCTTATAGTTGGTTTTGGGTGTAAGTATGAGTAAAATCTATTGTAACTAGTCTTCTTTGTTTTTCAAACAAAGCAAATCTTTAACTGTTTGAATAATAATTTTGTTTTTGTTGTTCCAGGTTGTACTGAAGATTTTAAGTTTGAGGTAAAGACCGTCCCTCCAGGACAAAATGTCACCCTGACATGCCCTCGCCAGAGCTCTGTTCTCTACCAAGAAACTTTGTACTGGATCCGCCTTGTTTCTGGAAAGTGGCCTGAATTTCTTGGGGCAACATTTAACTTCATGGGCGATGAAGATTCCAAGAATCGTCACATTCAGACAAAACAAGACCGAGGAGAATTTCTTCTTGATGTTACTGAAGCTCAGCAGAATGATACTGGACTTTATTACTGTATTAAAGTCAGACAACTTGACTTCATGTTTATGAAAGGAACATTTGTGAAGATTGAAGGTAAAAGTATTTATTTAGTGTTAATTTAATGTTTAATAACTTCACATCCTTACTTATCAGTGACTTTTTGCTGGTAAACCTTTTTTTTTTTTTTTCCAGGAAAGAATTCAGATGTAAGCGTTGTTCTTCAGAAGCCTCCATCTGGTCCAGGTCATCCAGAAAACCCAAAGGCTTTACAGTGTTCAGTTCTGTCCAACTCAGAGAGGTCAACATGTCCAGCAGATAACAGAGTGTACTGGTTCAAAGCTGGGTCAGATGACTCTCATCCCAGTTTACTTTATTTACAAGGAAACAGTTTAGAGGAATGTGACAATAGTTTAGAGGCTCCATCAATACAGAAATGTTTCTACAACTTCTCTGAGACGGTAGACCCTGGAACGTATTACTGTGCTGTGGCTGCATGTGGTCAGATATTATTTGGAAATGGAACAAAACTGCATAGTAAAGGTAAAAATCTAACTTTTCTCTTTGTTATGACATTACTTTCACTATTATGATACAATAATTATAGAGCAGTATATTTACACAAATCATGACTGAGCAGACAAACAAGTGAATTCTGCACCTGAAAGACCATAAAAATGAACTTGAACCAATATTGGAAAAATATAACCAGATACAGTATTAGCCATTCAAAGTTTCCACACTTTCCTTGATGGGCCCTTGGCTGATCCTTGGCTGGTCCCCTATAATTCCTTTCTAAACATCAATCCTTGTACTAGATTATTGTTTCTGTCCTGATTTGTGGACATTAAGATCTAAAGAGAAGCACCATCTCCATGTAATTCAGTGGGAAGATGGAGTCAGAGTAAAAAAATATGTTCACCCACGAGAAGGAGGAGGGTCACTTCAGTTGGCTGCCATTCGGCTGGCGTTTGACTGGGAAGCGCCATTTTGAATGGCTGCTACTGTAAATAAATGCATTTGGTACTCTATCCATATTCCAGAAGCAAGAATAAACCTAATTATGTTCAGTTAATGATAAGGTTATTGCATATATTAAACATGTGTTGCCAAAATTGGTTGTACATTATAATAGAAAATGTTATAGTCTCAGTTTCTCACAAATCAAAATTAGCATTTTGGTTATTATTAGTACTTAAGAATTTGAATTTCCTCACTGAATGAGGGTATTTGGTAATTCTATCTTATTTTATGTAATTATATTTTTATTAGATATAATTAATGAAAAAGTAATAATAACCTTTAAACATTATGTCTGAGGTTTTGCTCACTTTATTTCAGAGCCTAGAAGGCAAGATACATTTTCTATGCAAAACCAACAGTGAATAAAATCTGATTTTTTTTTAAATTTGAAAATATTGCTAAAATAAACTTTATATCTAAGCAGAATATACATTAAAGAACATTTGACTGGTTTAATTAAAAAAATATTATTTGTTTTTTAATAATAGAAATAATCTTATTTTTTTCCCTCTTGTTTTTTGTTGCAGAAGCCATCAATAAATCAGAGCACATCCACATTTTCATTTGCTTTGGCTTGGCAATAAGCCTCATCTTTTTAGTTTTCCTTACTTTTATCATCAAGCAAAGCAATGGCAACGGTAATCAAAGTCATGCATTTTTTTTATACAAAAAATTTCCACAATTATTTTAATGTAAAGTGTCATAATCTATTCTTCTCCTTTTTCATTTCAGTGCCAGCAAATTTTTACACTGCTGTCATTTTCACAGTAATAACTCCTAAATGTGGAAAACAGAAAACAAACACACAGAGGATCTACGCTGCTGTTATGGATTTTATACCGGATTAGTGGTGAAATACAGAGTGAAACTCAGCTTATTTATATAGAGCTGCAATAGATCCATACTAAACATCATAAACTATAAACGGTAAAAAAAAAATCAAATACATTAAACCACCCACACAGACGAAACCTAAACCAGCTGATCAATGAGATTTAATGTTTACTCACATGGAGGAAAGTCGAATAAATATTTTTGGCAGCAGGATGAGCGATAGCATGATTAAAAAAAAAAAAAAGTAAATTAAATGGCAACAAGAGTCAGGTTATATGGACTGGTCATATTACCAATGTCATCCAGACAATTAGTAGGTTTGCACTCAGCACTGTTTTTTTTTTTTAAACAGCATTATAGAAAAATTACATCAAAATATTGCATTCACGGAAGTGGCTTCAGCAGCTTATGATAGCACCTTTGGGGAAAACATTGCCTGAAAACACAGATTGGTTAACACCTGTAATTGACAAAAAAAAAAGAAAAAAAGAAAAACAGCAACAACCCCCCACCCCCAAAAAAATCTTGATGGGGAACACACATATATATTTATATGATTTTAAAACAAGTGGGCTAAATCAGTTTTATTTATTACTACAATCTGGTCTAATTTTATATTGTACTTATGATTTTCCATTTTTTTCAATCTTTCTTTTATACTTTGTCTCTATTTTAGATCTTTCATAAGCTGGCTGCAGCATGAACCACTTCCGTTTTACCCTCAAATAAAAACAAATTATTTGAGCTTTGTTTGTTTAACACCTGTAACGACCAGGGAAGGCATGGTCCAGCAGGATGGTCTCTCCAGAAGGAGGCCAAACATTAGAATACTGTATAAATTCAAGAGCAATGCTCTAGTCTAGAGAGTCAGATCAGCAACAAACCAGAGCGACATGGCGTGGGATGCAGGAGTTTCCCCTAAAGCTGATGGTGGTCAGAGGGCCAGTTTAGGGCAGCCTCGCTTCTGTCAGTGAGCCCAAGGGCAGCTGTGGCTACCATCTAGCTTTCCACCATCAGTGTTTGAGTGGGTATGTTAATGGGTGAATGACTGAATGTAGTTTAAAGCGCTTTGGTCAAGTCTCCTGACCTGAAAAGAGTTATATAAGTACAGCAATTAACAATTTTAAGTCACCATCATTGCTCAGGAAACCTTGGTGATCGTATGATCCCTGAAGATTAATTCCCTACCAGTTTTTCCTTTACCAAGGTCTCCTGCAGAGCAATTGCACACCATTGTTTTTACCAGTGTGTAAATTGTATTGAAGAAGTAATACCACTAATTACTTTTCCCATATTGGTAAAGTCTTTTAAAAAAAAATCTTAAAAATCACCCTTCTTAATTGACCATCCTTACACCCCATTCCCTGGGACATTTTATCCCTGAATGTGTAAAATTTCTACTATATATTAACTGTAATGGCAGTAATATTGACATTTGAACATTTGGTGGGCTGTGGTCTTACAAGTAGCCTGAGCAAAATAAATAAAATTAAAGAAGTGGCCTACCATGACAATGTAGCTGATACCACTGGGAAATTAGTCCCTAACTATGTAGGGGCAGTGATAGCCATTGTCATGGTCTTAGTTCTGTTGTGCTTTACTTTGCTCCTTGTTTTCTAATTTTATTGGTTTAAATTCTATTTTGTTGTAGTTTCTAGATTTATGTTGGTTCTCACGTTTTTCTGTTGTTGCCCTCTTTTGCCCTCAAGTGTGTGTGTGTTCCTTTCCCCTTGGCTTCCTCATTGTCTCCTCTCACACCTGCTCCTTATCTGCTCGTTAGCCCTGCCTTTGTCTCAGTCAGCAATTTATTCTCTCCCTCTGCTGTCACTCTTTGTTGGTTCCTTGTCTTTGCTGTCCTCCCATGCTGTTGTCCACCTACCTCGTCTCTCCCTGGCTCCTCGTGATTATTTTCCCCTGTTGTCTCGATGGTTGTGGTTTGTGTTACATATTAAGTTGAATTTTGGATTCCTGCCTTTGTTAAATTGTTTCCTCTGATTAAATCTACAAGAACTCATCTCTGCCTCTGCATTTGGGTCCACAAACACCAACCAAAACATGACAGCCATGCCAGTCCAGGGACTGACTGCAGTTCTACTATAAGGTGCCTTGGTCAAAGGTCAATGAACGGCATACTTGACATGTAACAACCATGCCATATATATTGCTTTAGGTTAATAGACTATATTAATTAGGCTATGTCTGCTACAAAAAAATGCACCATTCCCCTTTTTTGTTTTTTTACAACTAGACTACTGCTTATAACCATACTGTCTCTGCTCTAAGAAGAGATTTTTACTGTAGGGATGAGCAACGAGCTGAGAAAGGAATACCTGATGCTGACAGACTGAGGAACTAAAATATAGGAAAATGTTCAGCATGCCTTGAACACAGCCTGTAAGAAGAGACAATTTTACCAACCACAGAGGCCCCTATGTTTGTGCTAATAATAATATAAGTACATCCTTGTTACATTATTAGAGCTCCTAAACTGGTTTGCCATTAAACCACTACTAAATAAATTGCTTTGTCATTCCTCTTTTTCAACACAAAAACACAGTATATGACTGTTTGCTGGCTGTGGGCTGATTTTTCAGTCGTGTAAGATTTTTTTGGACCAAGAAGATTTTCAGCTTCATCATGAATCTTGTGTCATGTAGTAGCCTATTCATGAGGTAATGATTAGTCTCCAACTAAACTGAGAATGGTACAGTCAGATATAAATGAAACACTTGAAATTCAGTCAGCCCTTGTGAGGTGATCGTAAGCATATCATACTGTTGAATCAGAGGTCTGCACATTGTTGCGCTGAGAGGTGTGGTGTGGAAGGACAAATTCAGCAAAATTGGTTGGAGCACAAACAAAGGGTGATTTATTAGGTCTCCTTCATCAGAGCATAGTTATACTTAGATCAAAATGTCAGCTTTCCCATCAGACTCCTTACTACAGCCAGCAGTCCACCTATATACTGTTATTGCCCTTCTAAATTTACCCTCAGCCAATCAATGTTCAGCCATCATGGCTCCCTCTATAAGAGAGCTGGGTTTGAGGCGGGCCTCCTCCTTAACAAGGTTCCAAGATGGCGTCTAAAAAGGAAACACCCAAAAAGGTAACAAACAATTCGAAAAGAAAAGGATCATATGCACACATATTCTAGAACCCAAAAATTACAGAAAATCTTATTTTTTTCCTCAATTCATCATCTTCTCTGATTTTGTAGACAAGTATGGAAAGCCCCATCTATCTATATCCCTGAGTCCGACTTGTGGATTTTGGATGCACAGTGTGAGCAGTCAGATCGGAACAAAGCGACAGGCTGTACAGTGTATGAATAGATATGAACTGTGACATTTTAAATCCTTTGGTTTGGTCGCACAGTTTGTGCTGTATCTGATTACAATGAATACAAATATCATACATTGCATGCCTGCCCTTAAACATTACTTTCAAATCCATTTGAGGTGTGTGTTAAATTTTATGCCTCCTGCAATTATTTCAAAT